AGCTCCGTACCGACTGTTATATTGCCGACAATTTTAGATACTTTAAGGCTTACGAGTCGACAGAGGAGAAGGACAAGATAGACAGAGCACTGGGATGTTGTGAGCCTTTGTGTGCACTCAAACAAGTTTAGTAAAGACACGTTTTATGAGATAATTAAACTGTTCTCCTATACAACCAAATGAACACTAAGTTTTAGGACTGTTTTGAATCACTGGTTGTTATAATAATAATAATAACTCCTTTACTGCTGCCAATACTTAGTACCTGAAAGTGCCAAATAAGCATTTATTTTCACAATATTTTTAACAATTCTATTATTATTTTATGAATACTACCATATCTTATATTACTCTTAAATTACAGTGAAATAATCAGTTTGATAATGCACTCAATTGTTTTAGATACATTGCTTGTAGTCATAATTTAAGGTTTTAAACAAAAAAATTTAAATGACATAACATTACATATCCACAGAATTCACAGTGAGTTATATAAGCAGTTGTATTACATTTGTAGAGAATAGTAAAGAATCGATTCTTTCTAATCTTGAGATTAGTTTCTACTTTGGACTGAAGTGTAACTAAACTCTAGAGTTAGAGAAAGGAATATATGAGTTGGAGTCACACTAATAGTAATACTCGTGAAGTTGGACTCGGAATGAGTTTTTCTGTTATTTTAAGCGTTAGTGAAGAAGTACTCGTTGTTTGAGTGAAAGTTACAAATTTCTTCACAAGTGATAGTACTGTCATTCAAGTGGACAGACTTGAAATGAAACTTTCGAATAAGTGTTTAGGCATCAGCTTCTCATATACTACATCTCATACACATATCACACATCCCTGTGCAGCACATTCTGTACTGAACATACAATGTGTGAGTTTGTGGACTCAGAGTTTTTATTTGCTTTCATCTCAATTGTCTATATTGACGGATCTGTTCAGAGCTCCAGTGCTAGTCTAACAACTCTAATGTAATCGACGGCAAACTTCTCCGTCTTTTCATTATTAGTCATATCATAGGCTTCTCCTCTCGTCTCGCATCCAATTCCACACATTCTTCACATATTGTCATCGTTTCTAAATTTTGAATAAAATAATATTTTGCTAAATATTATATTTTAAGAATTTTGGTTATACACTGTAATAGAAACTTTATAATTAAAATAATGGTTATAACTGTCATAATTAAAACTTTCTCTAAAATGCATTCAATGAGTATATGGGATAACTAGCATAAGGGATAATGAAATGTCATGAATTCTTATATTAACACTGCAAAGTTTAAAGTGTCTGAAAATGAGTGCATTCTTTAGCAAATATAATAAAGTTTTCAAATGTTTTTTGGGTTTTGAGTATATTTGTGATGCAATATTGGTTACCCCCTATTACTTGCGAGATATACTCGAAATGGATGCTTAAGTGGTGGACAGTATTGTAAAGCAAAAGGTTATGTTAGTTATGAGTGCAAAACAAAGTGCAAAAACAGTCGCATATTATTTCCTTTGATTTCCGTCCACTTCTACTCCATATTTCCGTTCAGACCATTACTCTTAAGGCAATACAGTAGTCGTTGGCTTGGAATCAGATTTTTGCACAAAAACCACAAGTTTTTTGAAATGGATGTGAGAGTGCATTGCAACTGAGTATCAGTTTCCAAGTCTTCACGAAAATCTCAAAAACATTATTAAAAACTTTATTTCAACACTTGGTTTGAAGGAATATATGCTAAGCCACAGGATATTAAATATTGGGATTGAGAGCTCAAATTCTTGAAAATTGTTGAACAGAATTGCATTTTTGAAACACAAATCCCAATAAATGTTTGCAAAAAACAAAGGTTTCGTTTGTTTTCAAATAGAAGTCATTCGTCTCCTCAGGCTTTTAGTACGTAAAGGATTGACACCAGAAATACAGAGCCATTGCTTTATGATGTCTGGCACCAACACTTTGTCCGTTTCACTCATTTTCTGCTATTTTTTAAAAGTCAACGACTATTATAGAGCTCAGGTGTGTGTCTATAGTGCGAGTGGTTTTATGGTGGGTGCCATTTATTTAAGAGGTAGCTATCGATCCGTTTTAAGAGCGCATACATTATAAGCAGAAATCACATCATTAGGTATGAGCCGAACCACCAAAACGCTTGTGGGCTCTCATACTAATTAGATGAACGACTCGCAAATGCAATCATTAAAATTATAATAACAAAATCCATTCATTTCTTAGGTTTATACAGTTTTTCAACTCTCAAAGAGTAATTCAACGCATTTTATGATAAAAACGTGATTTTGTCTGCGAATTCAAAGTCAAATATAAGTTTGTATTGATTTCTAATTTTTATGCATTCAATCGCTGCGCTTTTGGCCCACAATTTGAATAAAATATTCATTTCGGAGATCCTTTTATTTTATTTTAATGATAAGTAAGAAAAATGTTTGTAAATAAATTCAAGACCACTCCTTATCTAAAGCATAAATTACTCCATTAATTATGTTTATTATCATGCTAGTATTTCAGTGTAACAAAGATATAAAAATATTATTACTTTTTTTGTGTAAAAAACGACTCAACTCTTGTTACCACAGAATATCACAGGAGGCGAGAGAGAGAGAGAGAGAGAGAGAGAGAGAGGTGAGAGGTCTTGGCTGCGGGACAATCGGTATTTGGTGTTTGTGTTCCCACTGTTCGCTGATAGGAGTGTCCGATCGTACACTTCAAAGATGTGCCAAGACTTTGACAAAAGTTGGCATTTGTTAGGACACCGGGAGGACAGAGTCTTTGGAAAGTAACTGTTACTGAAATAATTGTACTACAAATCAACTGAAAGTATTTAGAGCTTTAAGAACTGACTGCACATAAGAAAAAGTATGCAATAAATCGATTAGTTTTAGTTTTTTTGCGGATTTTATATCAGTTGTAAAAATAGGAATCATTAAAACCCGACTGAAAGCCTGTAAATCAAACATAACATTCACATCTCACTAATTAACATCAATTGCTTTTAATCATTAATTTTGGTGAAAAATAACCCATTAGTTAATAATTCTTACCATCAGTTTGTAGCCTTTTATGCGAAGGTTTTGTTTTAGTAAAAGTTTTTTAAAAACATAAAATGTAATAATATTTTTGATAAAATTCAATTCATTTGTGAGAATTTCTCAAAACCAATTCAATCTCTTTTTTATAACTTAATTGCATTTCACTTATAGATCTTAAACTGTTTTATTAGTTTAGAAATTATTTTTATGTCAGTTATCAGTAAATAAGATAATATTCGTTGAATTATACTGTACTACTAGAATATATCGATTGGGATTTTGTTTTAGGCTTTATTTAAAGCAATTATTTTTTATCAAATTTAATGTGTGTTTTGTTAATAAATCTTTTACTGTTTTTCACATAAAATATCAAAATTAAAATTAAGTAATCATTGAATGCAAAGAATCAAAGAAAGAAAGACTAGTTTGTAGTAAACATAAGGAAAAGAAATTTATAATAAATTGAGTGTTTTTGTGAAGAAATGGACAAAAATTGTATTCATTAGAAAGGGTTAGTGTCTGGAAGTTGTGTATCATTTCTTTGTCGGACGATTTGTCAGTGAGTTTGCGGTGACATTAGACTGACATTAAGAGCCATTAGAGTAATGGAGTCTTCGGATCGTTGGTCAGTGGATGTGAAGGAGTAGTGAAAGGACTGCTATTTTCTCCTCATTTTGATAGCAACCAAAGGGCGGATCAGTTATTCTCTCTGGACACCAGCGATCGACTTATTTAATCATCTCTTCTCTGGTGACCTCAAAACGCATTAGAATTACAGATATTTGCCATTCAATTGCCAGTAATGTATACATTGGTTGCCAAACGGGCGGAAAGGGTAAAGAGTAGGACTATTATTGACAGTGGAGTACAGTTGAGACCAGAGAAAGGGCTTAAGATTAATCACTGATTCATTGAATACCATGTATTGTCCGCCACCAGAGAGAAATGAGTGCAAAATGTTATAAATGTTTTGCAAAATACACTCTAATATACATTTTTGCACTGAATTAAAGTATTCAATAGAATTGGAGGTAAAATAAGTCTTACATTATAGTCAGCGGCGATGAGAAAGTCATTGAATGAATGGATTGAATATAGAGTACAGTAGAGAGTAGTTGTGAATATTGAGTCAATAGTCAATACAATCACTACTTTATTGATGATAATAATAATGTACAGAAAGTCTTACAACAAGCGGTGAGCTTTAAAATATAAACTCCAGAATGCATTTTGATATGCCTTTCACTCACTTCGTTAACAGTTCATACCTTTTGGCAACACCTAATTCATAGGTTTTCATTGGAAGCATGGATTCGTTGACTTGAATGGACAGTCAGTTTTTTGTGACCCAAATCAGTGGTGCGAAGAGCCCTTACAGCTCATACAGTGGGGTACAGAATATGGTGAACATGTAGCTCATAGAAAGTGGAGACTCTATTATATTATGCTTTGCTATTGTATTTCATTCAATACTATTAACTTCTTCGTTATGTATTTGTGGCCACACTATCGACAATAGAGTTGCAAACAGTTGTCAAGAGTTCTCTCTATTAAGTTCGTCTAAAAGGCTGTTTAGCACAAAAGGTGATCATAAGGTGATCACTGATCCGTTTGGATAATCTCCTAAACCTTAACAATAACTTAAACTCCAAAAACTGATTCATTTTCACAGATGTGTTTCACTATATATTCTACGCTTTCCGTGTAAATGCTTACCATTTTTCTGACCCCGAGTCTCATTGCATGTTATCTATTGTTCACAAGTTTACTAAATGTTGTATTAGTGCCAGAGTTTGACATTCAATTGTTTGCATAACAACTCACTCAATATATTACAGTACGGTTTATATACGATCGCATATATTTGGCTTAACTTTTATGGAATTCATCATAACTTTACAATAATTTACAACTTTTTGCACAGTTTTAACATTCAGTTTCAATAATACAGTGGATTTTATAACTATACATACAATTGGCGACAAAAACGTTACTTAAATTATAGTCTAAGTTATATATAGTTTAAACAAAACAAGTACTCAAACAAAATACAGCGTAACTCTTGTTATATAATCTCGGAGGAGAAAAGATTATCTAAAATAGTTATCCTGGTTATTTGGATAACTTATCCAAATAAGCAATTAGTGTTTGTGTCGAGCGTTGAGTTTACGCCGAAAACTGTCTACTAATTCATCGAAGTATTGCTGACTTATAGCAAAAAATGAGCCAAAAATGAGTTACAGATGTTTTAGTCATCAAGAAGTTTAAAAGCAATCAATCGGTTGTAGATTTTTCACACCAAATATCAACACATTTAAGCAAATGTTGTCGTCGTCTGGAGAGGGAGCAGGTGTTAGGCCATCGACGGTAGGCTTCTATACGGCGACTCATTATTCACGCTATCGTTCTCCTTGTTCTCCAACTCTCGGATCCGTTTCCGCAACAAATATATCGTTTCGTGAATGTCTTCAATGTTTTCAATATCACTGACAATACCAACAAATCACCAATTAATCAAATGTTACTAACATTACAATCACTGCATTTGATTGCAAAGTGTTTTATAAGAAAGTGTTAGTGTTTTGCGTTAATAGAGACTGAGCTTCACTTGTAATTGCTTTTGACATTTGCTATGCGTTTCTCACTCTCCAAACACTTAACTCTTATTAAATATACAAAAAGTGAATTGAATTGAAATATTAATTGAATTAAAACTAAAATGTATATATGTTATGTATGAAATGCCATATATTTGCCTAATTTTAAGCTCTCTCTCTCTCTCTCCCTCTCTCCCTCTTATGTGTGTAGTGAACTCCGGAGTGTACCGACTGTTCACTTCTCTGAACTATAAGTTGATTAGTATTTCATTTAGTTTTGACGGCCTCTCAGTTGGAAACCTTAGTTTAGCGACAAATATAATCATCGCTTTCGCATTCATTTTAAACTTTTTCACTTTAAGGCATAACAATAGGCATAGATATACAGTGTATTGAATATATGATATAATGTATATCGAGTTAATAGGTTTAGTCTTCCGGAATAAAACACTACTTGACATCATTTTTCGCGACTCTATTTCACAGTTAAGAATATTATTGATATAATATTTGCAATAATAATAATACTCTTTCTATATATAAATTTCTATCCATAGAACGAATAAAAGAGAAAACCATTGAATATATTGGCATAAAAAGTGTGATCTGATTATTGAATCTCAAGTAAAGCGATGGATAGTGTATTGAAAAGTGTATTATTCTGTTATATTCCGTATAATACAATACAATAGTGTATTGTATGTCTGGATGTTGTGGTGAATGGCATGCTATGAGGACTTGAGATAACAGTGAAATGTAGTGAATGTTGTTTTACTACTTATTCTATATATTTTTGAAGTGCTTTTTAAGTGTTTTAAGAATAACAATATAATTCTCTTATGTTATTGTAAAACATGTGTTGGGAAGCCATATGAAAACAAAATATAGATATTGATATACAGGGTATGCATACATACCTGTTATTGTGAATATTTGACTGTTGAGATGATAATCCGTTTTCGAGTGGCTTTATATCTTGGCCATCTGTCACATCATTGCCAGCTTTGGCTATAGTTTATGATAAAGAAAAACATAATAACTTTTAATATAGAGTTAACTGAATGTCAAACTGTATAGTGATATGCATTGTCCACACAAACCATTGCATAAGCCTATGAATACACTGAACTCTTCGTTTGATTAAAATCAATATAACCATTGTTTGCTAATCAGACAAACACTACTCAAACACTAACTCAACTCAACTCAACTGCCAATAACTGTATAAAGGATTAACACTTTTAATTCGTAATGTTTATGAATCATTCAATAGATTTATTGCACAAAAACTTAATCTTTTTCTCTTAAAGTCTCGGCAAAAACAGATGTAAAGCATTATTAGACACTCGAGTCGAGTGAAAGTGATTTGACTAAAAGATAACTCATTATATGATAAATAAGTTTATGAATTATAACTTCCAAACACTCCATTCAACACAACTCTATACTACAGTATAGTTCTACTCTATTATAGATCCCAAAACTACTATTTATAGCCATCATCCGTATATGAATGACAAAATCTGTTGAATGCAAAACATATCAAATAATCCTTTTTTAATTGCATTATATTTACTAAACAATAAAGTGGTCAACAATTCACTGCAACTGACTTTTCATATAATTAGCTTATTTTTGTTTCATATGAAAACTATATTTAATTCCCTTATATTCCCTTATATTGTACAATGGTAATATTTGCACCGTTTTATCAAAAATGATCAAAAAAAACATTTTTATCTCCAATTATGTCTCTCTGAACTAATTAGTGAACAAAATGAAAGCTATTTTATAACTAATATATTGAATGTAAAGATAAGATAGTCTGCGATAACTGTATGAATGAACGGCGCTTTCAAGCAGTAATTCTTCTCATTGAGTGTCAAAATAATGACAACATTTCTATTCAACGCAGCGTTTGTATGCAATAATTGTCTCATTTTAAGCCACAATAAAGATAATTCGTTACAAAATAACTGTTAAATCTAATGGATATTTAATGTGAAAAAACGTAAAAATACACAAATTTTAAAAAACAATTTACAGTTAATTATATAACATTTGATTGTTTCATGTTTTATATTATATAATATAAATGAATAACGAAATGAATGCTAACTTTCAGAGGAATCTCTGTTATTGAGTCCACTATTGGAGGCATCGCTAGACTTCTCGATGTCGACCTCTTTGTCATTATCTCCGACATCTGAGACGACGTCCACATTCTTGTCGTCTTCATTCTCCTCCTCGTCTTCGACCCTCTATTCATACAAAACATTACATTTCATTACATAATACTATTCACTATTATATTAATTAAAAGAAAAAATCTTTATTTTTACTCAAAAAAACATTTTGTAATTACTTTTCGTAAATCATTTAACGCATGACTCGTTTTAATCAGTAAATCATTCCCTAAATGACCCGATTTTCGCTTTAAAACATTTTATTTATTATTAAATAAATTTTTGTATTTATTGTCTCTTTTTGCTTGTGATTAATGAAGAGATGTTTTCTCGAGAGTTGATACAGTGTTTTGAATCAATTTTAATACTCAAGATATATGAGAGTTATATACAGAGAAGGATAGGAAAAAAATGTTCACTTTATTGGATGTAAAAGCACTTATCGATGTCATTGTCATAATAGCGAAGAATTATTATCTAATATTGCTTTTGAAGACAACCCCAAACACAAAGAGCTTTTTGAATGAATCGATAAATTTGTAGACAATTGTATTGTTATAATATTGTGTCACAACTTCGTTATCATTGTTTAATGAGAGGCTATAACAAGAAAATATCGATATATTAGACTAAATTGTTGTCTCTCTGTGTATAAGCAATCATTTGGCACTGATTTTCACTCATTTGCATTGAGTGCACATCACTTGCACTCACTTTTGATGCTATTTTTCTAATTTTTAATGGGATTATTATATGAGAGAAAACTCATCGCTAAATGCTTTGAAGATAAAAACGAAATCCTATCAAATACTATACAATTGTAATGACAAACTCATATCAAAACTCTTTCTCTTTTTGACATTAAATGTCAATAATTCGATCCCTTATGAGAAGAGCAAATGAGTACATATATAGTCTACTCTTCAGTCAACTCCACTCTCCTCTATAAACTCTTTCCATAAATGAGGAGAGAGAGAGAGAGAGAGAGGAGAGAGAGAGAAAGAGTCGATCAGATCACACATAAATCCCAGAAAATCAAAGTCATCCCCAAAAAGTTAAGCTATAATTCATATTACAGTTGTGTGTTTGCCTATCATTTGCTCAATGGCTTAGTTCACTAGTATTGCAAAAATGATCTATAATTTCATTTTGGAAACTTAATTCAAATTTCAAAAACAACTTTTCAATTAAGAGTTATATTTCTTTGCAAACAATATATTGTTACAAAATGTATGATTGAATAAAAAGTTTGTGAATTGAACTGAAGAGCGGAGACCAGACCTGAGAAGTAGTGCTGACATCAGAGCCGATGTTCCAAACGGAGTCATTCCTCAACAACTGATTGCCAGTGCTTTCAGTCCTTAACTCTTCGGTTTCAAACTTTTTCCTCGTTTGGCGAATCATTGCTTTAATATTGAACATAAATATTTGAAATCAGAAATATTGCAACAAAACAAAAAATTTAATTATTATTTAAATTAGCTTTCGAGGAAATATGAAAAATGTTCGCACAGTTTGATACTCTAATCAGTTTTAAATGTCAAAAATTTTCTTGAATTACTTATTATATTTGTTGTACAGATTTTGCGAATAAATTAAAGAAAAATCAAAGAAATGGTGAAAAATAAATCATTCGCGAGAAACAAAAATTTTCTGACACAACAGTTAATCAGAAATATTTTTGTCACTAATTGTGGATAAGATCTTCTGATAAATAATAAACTTCTTTTGATGTCTTTCGCTAAGAATTGGATAACTTTTCACATTTTTTGGCTCCATTTCAAACGAATTAAAAATAAATTTATTTTATACTAATTTATTGAGAAAATAAGGTTTAAAACAAATAAAACTCAGATATGAATCAGTGTTGAGATACGAATGTAATTGTAATTTAAATCTTTAGAAACATTGAGAAAATACTAATCAAAAAGAGTATGCGATAATGTTTATAGAAATTTTGTTTTAACTGTAATGATAATAATGTTTTAAATGCATAACAAAAATGAATTTATAAGAATGTGTTTTATGTGATTTGCATTTTGAAAATTATGTCCAAATAAATAAAGTGTTATTTGCTTTTTGGTGAAACACATGAATAGCATATATTCATTGAATTTAATGATTATTGCGTTTAAATGACAACTTTTAAGAAGTAATATAAATAATATTATGAATAATAATATAATTTATTCGATAAATAAAAGTAAAACTAACAGAAAAATTAAAACAAATTTTATACAGACTTAAAACCAACAAAATTACACAAAATAAGGACCATAACTAAGGTATGAATACAGGTTTGATATGTTTTTGCTTATTATTTATATAATAACATAAAGTACTGTAAAGACAGAGTAAAAAATAACTGATTTTAAGCACTAAACAAGAATAAGACAAATAAATGCAAACATTTTTGATGAGATTTTGTCGGCTTTAAGTGAGTATTCATTTAGTTAATTGCATTGAATATAATGTGAATCATAGGTATAAATGGTATAAATCTTATAGAAAATGGTAAATACCTGTTAGCCTTGAATGACGGTTTTGCTTAACCCTTTGAAATGTCTATAAAAATCAGGAGAGAAAGAAAATAATGCTTAAAAAGATTGGCTTCAGATAAAGGGTTTGTGTTTTAGTTCTCAAAGAGTTAAGAGAAAATCTTTGAGAGAAATACTAAAAATCGTATTTATATTCACTATTATTGCCATATATTTTGTTGCTTTTTTGCAAACGTATAGTCTCTACACATTTATATTCGTTTATTTATTTAATGTCTATAAATAATTTTGGGAATAAGTTATAAAACAAACCTCCCATCGAGAATACGGCAACTTTTTCTGAAATGATGAACATCTCGACTCAAATGAATGTTCATTACTTTCTGGTGAATCGTTGGGAATGTCCGCCAAATTACTTAATCTATAGAAAGCAAAATGAAAAAATTATTATATAAATATAGGAATCAAAGTGGATGTAAACTTTATAAAAGCAAAAACATATCGCGTTTTAATTTATTTGCTGAGTGCCTACAAGATATAAAAAGCCCCGCAATTGTGCTCACTATTTGATATAAAACAAAATATAAAATGTATGAATATTTGGTTCATTTGATCGTAAATGGCATTCAAGCGCTCAGACAACACAAGTCGACCATTCATTCAAACACTTTTATGAAAGCCACACAAGATATCTCTCAATAACCTATTGTTTACCACTATTTCTATCACTTATAGGTTTAAACTCATAAATTATATTATAATTAATTTATTAATATATTTATTAAACATATCAATTATTTATAATGCGATATAAATAAATCTAAACCATATAAGTTAATATTGTAGAGTTTTATTGTCGATTAAATATCGAGTCAAAATCGACGCTTAATTGGAAAACCATGTTTTAAAAGAAAGTTTTATTAGTGGTTTTAAAACCGTTTTCACGTTATTTTTCATGATTAGTATTACTGTTTACTAAACTCTCCCAAAAACTACTAAAATACTATATAAAACAATATTAAATTTTAATGAAATCTCAATTCTTTCAGTGATAGAGAACTTCTTATATAAGAACTTCATATGAAATACTGATATGAGTAGTGCTTCCGAAGAATGCAGAGAATGTGCAATAAAAACGCTGTTCTTTGAAGTTTTTGTAGAGCAGTGATAGAGCACTGGGATGTGGGATGAAGGGATAGGGGATGCAGGGATGAGGCAGACAGAGAGAGAGAGAGAGAGAGAGAAGCATTTTAAACTCATAGTTTTGAACGCTTACTAAGCATTGAATTACTTTATAGTGGAAAACAATTATTGAAATGTTTTTATATATTATGTTATATTATCTGACATCCCATCCCTTAATTCAATCTCTCGAGGCCTCAAATATTTTCATTTTTTTATAAAACTTTTGTTCTCTAAAAGTCAACTAAAGTAAGACTGGGAGCGCTGGCGGCAAATAAATAGCTAATCAAATATAATATTCTATAAGTGAGTGATATATGACTTACTTTCTAAAGGTCTCCACTTTGTGGACCTCTTCAATGAAATGTCGACTGATGTCCACTCCTTCCAGAGATATCGAGCAAAGAGGACACGTCAGGGGATGCGATGGAGACCGACACCAACTATTTGAGCCCATGGCTACACCATTAAAGTAATTGGATAACATTAATACAGTAACACCAAAATACCTTATATTCAAATTCTGTGTAATATTATAAATATAATTTTGATAATAAATTCTTTTAAAATAAGTTAATCTACTTTCCAAGCAGCCTATACTGTTAATACTAACTTGTGAGACAATCTTACTACTTGAATATTCTTATAAAACTGCAAACTATTTTACATTTTATTATTAATTATTTCTGATTGAGTAAAATTAATTAATTTGAAATCTAAGATTTTCATAAACAATGTGATTTAGAATGGAATTTAGAAATTGATGCAAATCTCAAATCTTATAGTTTTTGCGATAAAAATAAAGAGAAGACAAGAATTGTTAAAAGCTTTCGATAATGTGATCGACGACTAACTGATAGGTTAGGGCCAACACAGTCCTAATTGATGCACTCAGAGCTCCGGGTCATGTCGTAGGCTATGTTACGGACACTTAATGTTTTTAATTGACTCCAATTGGCTCAACAAACAAAACTTAGTTTTGAATGCATATAAGGGTTGACTTATTTGAATCGATATTCATATTAAAACTTATCAGAAAGAATAAGTACTTAATATTTTATTCAAATAATTACTGCAGTATTCTATACTTGTATGAAAAAGTTTAGAAACATTTTGCAATTTAATTGTCTCTAAATGTGGTGCAGATAAGCGAATAAAATCCGATTCTATTCATCAAATTTAATCTCTTTTGCAAAATGATTATAATAACTGTTTTTCAAATGCAAAGCATAGTAATTATATTTGAATGAATGTGTATTTATTGCAATGCATTCTTAGCTTAGTTTTGCATAAACTTTTGCAAATTAATGCATTTGCAAGCAATGAATTAAAAGTATGTATTAATGATGTGGCGATCACTTACAGGACTGTTGTTGGAGTAGTGACTCGTTTGAAGCATTGGTCGAGAGGTCGGTGTCTCCCGAGATGTTCAACATTTTGCGTTTAAATGGTGGCGAAGATGTGGTGAATTCGTTATTTAATGCGTTAAACATATTGTTCTGTGTATTGTGTAAATGATGAGCACCTGAAGTATGGGTAGCATTGAATGGGAACAGACAGCCCTGTTTAGCGGTGGGGTATGCGCTGGCATTTGCAGTCCTGTGTGCAGTATTGAGGGGCGAAAAGACCGGTGGAAAGCGTGAAAAATCTTCGGCAGGAATTCGTTTGCCTACGGGTTATCATAAAGTCATTATAAATTCCAAGAGTTTTAGGACTCAATGAGAGAGAGAGAGAGAGAGAGAGAGAGAGAGAGAGAACTGTCGTTTTGTTTATGACTCTCCCTTCAGAGTGTATGTCTTAATAACAGTAAATATGAAGACAATGATAGGGAAAGCAATGATTACCTGAGAGGTTATGTTGGAAAGAGTTGCCCAGAAAAGACATTTGACGGGCGATGGCGTGCGGCGAGAAAAAGGTGGACAGATTGGTGCCAACGATCCCTGAATAGGGATTCTGTGCGTATATGGCGTGCAGTGGGAAACACATCGACGGTATGGTTGAGGGCGGGAAGTGGACCGACGGCTCCTTTATGGCCGACGGCTTCAGCAGCGGAATGGACTGGAGGTTGACTCGCGAGGGACTCGACACCGGAGACCTGTCCTGACTGTACGACGACGACGCTTGTGGTGAGGAGTGAAGACTGGATGGAGACATCATAGAGACGGGCGATGAGGGGGACGACGATTTAGATGTCACACAATTGCTTAGCATTGCATTGGGCTATGAATGCAATCAATGAATTGAGTTGTGATTAATAAAGTTTAACAAAGTTTTGTTAGTATTGACACGAATTCAAATAAAACTGCTTTCACTGATCATTGAAGACGTGAACAATTGAGTCAATTAATTGTTTGTAGATTGCAGTGAATTAGTACTAAACATAAACATATTCATAGAGTGCGAGTGGCTGTGAATGACCACAATTACTGGCCCTATACTGTCATAGAGGAGATGCGGTGTATATATAAATTGATGGCTCGGATGGAGCCGAAGCAGTGGTGGAGGAGCTGATGGAAGTGCTGTAGAGCTGGTGTAGAACTGGTGCAAAGTTGGCTGGAAGTGCACTAAAGTCTGAGTACACTAATAGAGTATATGATAGTGTGAGTGGAACTGTAGGGAACTGTAGGCAACTGTAGGCAACTGTAGACAAACTCTTACGAGTGGTTCGTAAGAGAGTAGTGGAGAGGAGTTGGAACTCAATACTCAATACAGAGACACAAAAAGTTGCTTTACTTTGCTTTCACTGAATCATGTGAATCATGGACTCGACTCCGAGCGCATGAGTTCAAGCACTAGAAGTTAGGCACTGGTCTGGTCTGTAGGCACTACTCTATTTGGGAAGTGAGCACCAATTGTGAGCACCAATAGGGGACTGGAAGGTGAGAGTTGCTTAACTCGACTCAACTAACTTTCTTGACGTACGACTAAAAGATAGACATCATTGGATGAAATGGACGAGAGTTTGCGCTCACAGACACTATCATCACTTGATCTGAAGATACAGTACTACTCCTCACTACTGACTCCTTCTCTGGTTAACTACTCCTTCCACTTAACTCTACCACTACTACAGCACACATACACTTAGCAGTCACGCAGTCATACATTGAGGCATTTGAATGTACAGTATATTCTTGGTCCATTGAATTGGTGTTTGGTATACAGTGTATGGCCAACAGTACCGAATACTATACGAAAAGGTGTATAGAGTTTGCACAGGTGTGCAGCACAACACACCCATCACCTCATTCTCAATTGCATTGGCATTGCATTGAATGACAAATTTTTCTCTCATCTCAAAGAGTGGATGCCTTTCGCTTATATGCGAACAAAAAGTACAACAAAGCTATTCATTGTCTGCAAACAGGATTACTATAACTATAACTACACTTCTCTTTACATTTTTACAAACACTCAGTTAAAGTGCACATAATATGTGATCCTTTTTTAACTGATGCCAAATGCGGATAATAGAGCCAAAGGTTGGCATTTCAGAGCTTTTTATGTAGAGCTTCACCTAAAACTCTGTTACACTTTTCGGCAACAAATATACACACAATGTATACAATATATACTACTTATAGTCAGTATTACAATACGATTCACTTTCAGTCCTAAAATATATTTTTTGTTCACTATTTTTTTCAATAGGATTAAATTTTCGAGCCAAATGCAAACGGACCACCTTTTCTCCTGTTCCTAATCTCTGGTAAAACCTAAAAATTAATACATAAGAATAGAGAGAATTTGTATCCAAAGATCAGTTCAAACTCTCAACACAAGCCATACTTGTATTGAATACAGGAGTTGATAGAGAGAAGTGAGAGGATAGAGAGGGATAGAAAGGGCCAGTAGTTTGTGATGAAAGACAGAATAATAGGAACCGAAACCTCTGTTTTCATAAACAGTAGTTTAATATAAGCGTAGGTTTTGTGTCAAAACTTTTTCCTTATATTTCTTTGTGTCACTCAAAGCTTATATGCCATTAGAGTTGACTCCAAATATTTTGCTTCTTATGAGTTATAATACGACAAAACTGTAAGTTCTTTGACTTTTTTTACTTCTATTGAGCGACAAAAACATGCAAATGAGTGGTCTATCCTTGCAATCGGCTTATATGTGCATAAAATATTAGCTCACATTAACAAAGTTTGCACAATATCTTCAAAGGCAAAAAATATTGGGTCTTAAAAATAGAGCCGAAAATGTGTCTATGTTTTGAGAGTTTGAGTTATGAGAGTGTGGAGAGAGAGAGAGAGAGAGAGAGAGAGAGAGAGAGAGATCAAAGAAGACACTAACAATTGTATACTAAACTGATTTGCAAACATAAAGTATATAATAATTTTCACTTTTATTAAAATCGGAAGCTTTCAGATAATAAGGGGATCTGAATATATAGTGTGTGGACTTCCGCTCATTTGCAAACAAATGCAAATACCGGTGCAAAAAGTGTATAGTGTTTGCACATATGAGAGACAAATGTCGTGAGAATGTCTTCTAACCTACAAAGTTCATGACTTGTATTTAAAATGGTTTGAAAGCGTTTTCCACTTAAACCCGTTTAACACTAAATATTCATCCATTTTATAAATTAATGATTGAATGCGAAGATGTGTTTAAAAGCGTGAGAAAAGAGTGAAAATCACACAATTATGCGATAAATAGGCATTGATATTAAGGCCAAGTATTAAGGGATTAGAGGAGGCATTGGTTTGACTATAACTGTAAGAATCGTAAGGAATATGTTTTGCTTATTCCCAGTATTTTCTCATCTCACTTCAAATTTGCGTTATATTTGTGTAAATTTATATGCAAACATAACTAATAAGTTAAGTATCACTAAATTCATAACTTAACTCATGCAGAGAATGCATAGCATTTCACATATAAAATACAATCGATTTTCTAATACTTCAAAACAAGAGAGCATTGAATGAGTGAGTGAGCGAGAGAGAGAGAGAGAGAGAGAGAGAGAGAGAGAGAGAGAGGATGAGAAATGAGACCACAATTTAAGCTACCATTACATTCATGATAATAGTAGTGGTATACTGTATAAAGTTACAGCGTTTAGAGTCTTATGCTATTAGAGCACATTCTGTGCAATACTCTATGTTCTATTGGGCACTGACTGCACTGACTACTCATCTCTCTCTCTCTCTCTCTCTCTCTCTCTCTCTCTCTCCATCAACACATGAGAGGTCGTAATCATTATTGAAATGATTGCTTGTCTTATATGTTACATAAACTGTGGACTAAACTACACTTTACTATACTTTACTACTTATGTATTCACAAAGTACTGCACTTTTGAATGGCTCTCTCACTTCAAGTCAGTTAACTTTATTCTTGTTATTTTGGTTATGTTCGCATCGACACACATACCCGTCCACTACATACCCAATAATGTCCATCTGCTTAACCATTTTAGTGATCAACTCTCGACTCCCAACACAATTCAAGTGTCCAATAATACAGTCTAATCATTGTTTTCAACCACTTTGCACTTACAGTACATCTGCATATTTTATATACAAATTCTTAATTCATTGTTATGATAACCTAAAACTATTTTTTATATTAAACCTATAACATAGCATTTTTTGCGCAAGAATTTGGACTCAAAATATAAAATTGCGTTCAACTCAATGTATGAATAGTATTAGTAAACGGGGTTTGGGGTATGGATTGGTTACTCATTTTTGTCAGCTTTAGTTTATTGAAGCCGTTTAGAGAGCACTGGAAGTCGTTTGATATGCTCTTTGACTGACATTATATTGAAAGACATTGTGATTGCGTTTTGAGACCAAACACACAAAAACACATTTACTGGTCATACTATGTATTGTCAGTCACCGCTAACACTATTTTATACGAAATAGCCGTCCATTTAGTGATTCAAGAATTTTTGACACTTCTGTCCAAATGTGTGTTCACTCGTAAACTATTTTTGAGATCATTTAATGTTATTTATGCAAAAACTAGTGCTAAATAGTAGTGCAAAATCTGGTATTTTTTGACACTCAAGACAAACAATGAATGCGTTGAATGACAAAAACATTTGACGACAAAAGCAATTGTATTACAATATTATATAATTTAAAAGAGGGCTCAATAGTGACGACAAAATTTAGTGATTCCTTAAGAATAGCCACTCGTATTGACAATCGAGTGGTGGTGGCAATAGTGGCACTATTAGAGCCCATTTAGCGTAAGGCACAGGCAGTCCATCTCCATAAAGTGCACTCAACCAAACATTTATGTCTTTCCACTTTTCATGTGTTCAATACTTGATTAAAAGCGAATGACTTTTAACTTTTTCGGCTCAACTCCTATCACTAAATAGGTGTCAACTTTCAGGTGTGTTTCCCTGTGATGGAAGTCTCTCCAGAGAGCACTCATATGTTCACTCACTTCGCAATTGTATGGATCAGTCAAAAGATATTTTTGTGAATCACAATCTAAAGTATGTTTCGGATCATAAATTACCATGATTATTGTTCACTAAACTCATTCTCATCACTAAATATGTCATCTCTCTCTCTCTCTCTCTCTCTTTCTCTCTCTCATCTTTAGAAATAACAAACCATGTATTGATTGAAATGGGAAAATGTGAGTTTTCTATCTCATTGTTATATTGCTATGAGTACTGTATAGATATTTGCAATTCCAAATATTTGAATCACAAAACATTTTTTCCAACAATTTATTTGTCGATAACAACCGAAAATTAAATTTCAATCAAAACTAATTGCAAAACACATTCACAGAAATCATGGCAAACATTAGTGTGTCATAAATGTATTAAAGAAATTGAATCCATAATATATAAGATGAAATAATATCTAGAAATGGGTTTATTTGCAGTAAACTAAGGAATTGTATGAATAAAGTGGGAACCGATCTCTTGTGAGGCATCTCTCGCGAGCAGAGAGTGGAGTGAAGTGTGAGTTGAGCTGTGGTTCGGTTACCGCACAAACAGATTGTCGAAACTGATTGCCACTTGAATTGACTTTTGATTGACGTCGTGGGGAAACAACACACCATTACTTCGGCACAACATTTACACCAATACTCTGCTCCAGACTTTGACACTAAAAGTGATATTTCTTCCCAATAATACTCGTAATTATAAAGATATTGGACTACTTGTGCCCTCACAACCACTCGTGAGCCGTCACTATGTGTTTGTTTGAATCAAGTGTTGTATTCAATGTAATCCTTTTGATAAGTTGTTTCAATAAAACACTTTTCTTATAACACTATTACTGTTAGAAAAGAAACGAATTATAAAAACATAAATAAAACAAAAAACGAGAA